CATGTAAGTTCTCTGGCAGACAATTCATGTCACAGTCAGGTTTCCATGGTGATTTTGAGTTGTTCCTGGATTTTCCCTGGAAGACTGGATTCCTTGAGGGTCACCTAGGACGTGCTATATACTAGTACTCTAACTACAGAAACAGAGGGTGTATCCCATTGAGGTAAACTCTAGCTGCTCAAGGAGGTTATGCAAGTTGTCTGGTAAAGCCCCTCTTTCTGGTACAAACATTGGGCCCGAGACTCTGGAAGCCTCAGGATGTGTTAGATCCCAGCCTTCTGTAGGATTGAAGGCTCCTTGCTGCTTCTTCACAGCATCTTCCCCAATGCATGTTCAGCCCCCAAGCACCTGAAGAGAGTCCAGCTCTACACCTGATCATGGCCAGGGTCCTTCCACTCCAACGGGGAGGAGAGATTAGATGAGAGAAAGAGCATGCAGCCCCGAGGGTGAGCCTGCTGGAGTCCACCTCTTGGCTGTCATTTCTTCTGAGTTTCCAGGCTGGATCCCAACCGAGGATGTAAGAGGCTGTTGCCATGTATGGGCAAATCGGCACAAGCACATTAACAGGGGTTGTCTCAGCATGGTGGGATTACAGATGACTTATTTCATGGCTTTGCTTCTTTGCATTTTCCAATTTTCTGCAATGAACATAATGATTTGAGGGAGATTAATTAAAGGGAGAAGTGCTTTCTTGCTGTGTTCTTCATGGGGCTCTCCCCCACCTTCTGTAGATCGGTAAACTCCAAGGTGCCCTCTACTCCATGTGCCTTTCTCAGAGCTCCTTCTGACCTGTACACCGGCAAACTCCCACCTCCACCTTCTGCTTTCGCACCCTCCACACTAATCCACTCGAAACCTTGCAGATGACACAGCATTTCACAGGGTGAGCCTGCTGGTCCCCCCCAACCCTGATTTCATGAGACGACATCTCTCCCGTCTCTGAAGCTGACACCTGGAACCACAACCTCCATTCCTTGGCTGCTTACTTAGCATCCAATTAATAGCTAGACATCTGCAACAAGACGTTCTTAAAAACCACACTCACAAGTATCTTAGTCCCACCCTGCTCTCTCCCCTCCACACCCAGCCACCTCCCCGGGGTCTTTCTCTGCCAGCAGCACCATCATGGACCTCTAGGTAGGTTTATGGACTCTGCTCTTTCCTCCTGAGGTTAGTCATTCGGTTAACAGGGCTGGTGGTCTTTTTCAAAATATCCTTTGGGTCTTCCTTTTTCTGTCTCCCCACTCCCCTCCTCCCCACATTAATGCTCCTGACCCATTGCCGAGGTCCAGGACTAAGTCTTACTCATTGTTGCCTCTCCAGCATCTAGCATAGTGCCCAGCACATATTATGCCCTCAATGTATGCTTCCTGGTTGGTGAATAAGTGAATAAATGTTTAAAAAAATATCTTTCATAATTTGTCTCCTTGATTTTATTTTTTTTCCCCTACAATCCTTCCTATATTTATCTGCTGGTTGAAACTTCCAAAAGGTGCACTGACCATGTGAATCCTCTCTGGTACCTTTAATGACTCCCACCCTCTATCAAGGCCTTTTAAAAGCCTGCCCCTCTTTACCTTTCTTTGTAGAGAATTTGCTCTCTCACTCCCTGGGGCTTTCTTCCAGGTCACCTGACCCTTCATGTGTGAGCCCATGGAATCCGGTGGACCTCGTGGAGGGCTGTCTGTCCATCTGGGGCACTGCTGGGTGACCTGGCTCTCTGGCCCTGCTCCACTTTGTCAAGCTGCCCTCTTCACCCCCAGCTGTCAGAGGTGTGTTACCATGCAGTCACTTTCATATGTAGTCAACATTTATTCCATGGGTATTTATTGAGCGCCCACTATGTGCCAGGTACTGTAAGCAATAAGAGTACAAACATTTGTTCAAAATTTCATTTAACAATTTAGAGAGCCTTTACTATGCATCAGGCCCTGGGCTGGGACTGGGCAGACCCAGTGTTGGCCTTCACGGAACTTACTTTCTTATGATGGAGACAAAAATATAGACAGATTAGTAATTAACTGATGGATTGATTATAGTTTTTGATTGGTGCTATGTGGAAAGAAATGATGCTCTGGCAGATAATAATGCATCAGTCATCAACAGAATTAACTCAGACCATTCATGCATCTGACAGTCCTTATGAAGCACCTACTATGAATTAGGTGCTGTGCCAGGGCTGGGAATGGTGAGGTGAGTAAGATATGGTCTTTGCCCTTGGGAGCTCACCCCCAAGAGGTACATACATACGAAAAAGACCAATCCATTTGGGGGAATAAAATAGACCCATTATTTGACTGAATCACCCAGTTGCTCTTTTAACCCAATCTAATAGGCCTGTGTAGACTCCTTTTCAATGTTGGTTGAAAGGTGTATTTCACACCAAAGAAGCTGCTTGGGATTACCTAAAGTTAGGCCAGAGCTTTAACCTTTGTCTGCCTTTCTTCTCCCTCAACAGGGCACAACCAGGAGCTCCACAAAGCACGGGGCTCTGTGAGGCCACCTTCAGACCCCAGGGAGCCCACGTGAGCCTGCAGCTCATGGTTGACACAGTGCAGAGCTGCAGGGGCCACCTCAGCTGATAACTGTGGCATCCAAGGATGCCACTGGCTGGGCAAGCCCCCTGACCGTTCTGAATCTCAGGCTCCCATCTGTACCATGGAAGGAAATAAGAGTTGCTTTGTCTCTTTCTGTGGGTTACACTTAAAATCAAATGAGACCATGAAAGTGATTCCAAAGGGAAAAGCAATATTCAAATCTAAGGTGCTAGAATTACCTTATTTTTTTTTAATTGTGAAGGTTGTCAAGGTTCAAACAAAAATTATTTTCACATTTTACTATTTAGTAGTAGTCAAGTCTATCAGAAGTTTGATAATACACCATAATTCAACATAGCAAGCACTGTGTTGTATACCCAAAAGCCATTTCTCCTCCCCTTCTTCCAAGCTCACAGAATCCTAATTCTTTCAGGTAAGTTTCCCTTCATCTATCTTGACCTCCCCCAGCCCCAGGGGGAGACTTTGACTGGTCTAAATCAGTCATGATCATGGCCATTACATTCCATTTGGCAGTGATTGATCTAGAGGTGAACATATGCCCCAGTTCTGGTCAATGAGAAATAAAGGAAAACATGACTTCCTTCCCCAAACAGAATTTCAAGAAAAGAAAACCTTTTGCTTCTGCCCTGCCCTTCCTACGGGTACTCATGTGAGGACAAGATGCCTGAAGGAGTGGCATCTATCTTGCAGCCATGAAGCAATAAGCACAAAGACACAATGGAAGAGAAGATCGGAAGGAACGGGATTCTTTTTTTTTAAGTTTCACCTCTGAATTTTATTATAGCAGACAAAGCACAGTCAAATGAGAAAAAGAAGAATTTGTGTGTGAATGTCCTAGCCAGAAAAATCATTTCTGAACCAACAAAGTTTGTTCATAGATCTATCTCTGTGCCTTTGATCCAGGCATGTTTAGAAGGAGCAGGATTCTTGATGATTCCATAGAGCTACTGTACCTACCCTCCTCCAGGCTTCTGGTTCTAAGAGATAACTAAATGCCGTTAATGCTTAAGTCACTGTTGCTTGCAGACAATTGCATATGTAAATTGGTGCAATCTCTAAGGAATGTAACTTGGCAGTATATTTCTATTTTGAATGTGCATACCCTTCGACTCAATGATTCTACTTATTAGAATTTCTCCCACAGATATACTCACAAAGTGCTCACATAAGTCTATTTAAATACATTAATTACAGTATTATGTATATGACAATGTGGTTAGATTGATTATGGTGCATCCATAAAATGAAATGTATGCTGACTTTAAAAAGATTGGTGCAGCTCTATGTATACTGTTAAGAAATGATATTCTAGAGCTACTAAGATGTGTGTACTGGTAAGAAATGATACTCTAGGTCTACTAAGTGGCAGAGTAAAATTAATAATAGTTGAAGTTGGATGATGAGTACATGGAGATTTGTTACACACCAGGTTTTCCTGTAAATGTATTGTGGAGATTTGAAATTTTCCAAAAAAAAAAATGTAAAGGTAAGGGGAAGGAACAGTAGTATGAACAGTATGATATCATTTATGGGTTTTTTTTTGTTTTTCAGAGAGAATTTTCCAAATACATTTTTTGATAGACACTCAAAACTTTATGGCCAACAAAGCATAAATTTCATATACTTTTCATGGGTCCTATTCTTCTGCTTTTTTCCCAATTATTTAAAAATGTACAAACCATTCCTTCCTCACTGGTCATACCAAAACAGGTGGTAGCAAACCCACCCACATAGTTGGTGATCCCTACTGGTGTGTGGGCTGGTTCTTAACTGAAGGCTTTGTTTTCAGAGCTGCTCTTTGCTATGCAGACAGGAATGGGCCTAGTTGCTGGCCCCTGGCTTCCTGGCCGCTGTCCTTACCAGCGGGGGTTCTGAGGGAAGTCACTAAGCTCCCTGGACCTCAGTTTCCTTTTTCCTGAAGCCCAAGGATATAATACCATCCTACTCACAGGCTGTGATGAGGAAAATACCGCTTTGCCCGGGACACTCCCCTTTGTGCAGGAAATTAAGGACTTGAGGATGGACTCCCGCGGGCAGAGCGTCCCTGAAGGCCGCAGAGCCTGTCCCCAGAGCCCTCCCGCGCAGCGCACTGCGTGGCCTTAGGGACAGCTCCTCTTAACCAGGGGCGCGTGCCTCCCGGGGGTACCTCCCCGAGACCGCCTCCCTGGGCCCTGGAACCCGGGTTCCCCGCGTGCCAGGGCAGAGGTGCGGTGACAGCACAGCCCCGCTCCGAGTGGGGCACCGGGTGCACGGCAGGCCTTCCCCGCTAACCCAGGGCTTCCCAGACGCCCAGGGTCGTCGGGTCCCGCCACCCAGCGGAGCGGGCTGCGGAGGTCTCCCCGCCGACGCGCCACGGCCTGCGAGGGCGCCGCCGAGCCCCCCGCGGCCCAGAGGAGCCCCTCATAGTCCCCCCGTCCCCTATAGGCCGATCCTGGCGCCACAGCCGCGCCGAGCCCCGGGCGGGACCTCGAGAATCTCCTGCCCGGCCGGCCGCTCCCGACCTTGCGGGCGGGACCCGAAGGTGGGCGCGTGGCTCCGGGGAAGCGGGTCCTTCCTCGAGGCTCCGGAGCGCGGCCGCGCGGTTCGACGCTGCCCGGCAGGGCGGGGCGGGAACTGGCGCTGGGGGAGCGCCGGGCAGTTGCGCAAGTTGTGCTCGGGCGGCTATAAGAGCAGCGGGCAGGCATGGAGCCCCGGAGGAATCGGAGGAATCGCGGTGCGAGCAGCTGCGAGGTAAGGCCCGGGGCGCTCCGTTCTCCTTCTCCGTCCTTCTTTCTCGGCAGGCCACAGCACCCCACCGTAGCCTGGGCCCTGGGGAAACTGAGGCGGGCGTGGGTCAGGGCGATGGCTTGGCTCTGGACAGTAGTAGCCTTGCACCAGAGTTCGAAGCGGTGGGAAGGCAGCTGGGAGTCCGGGAGCATTGGATTCGGGGCTGCGGTTGTGCCGGTGCCCACGCAGGGATCTGTACACCTGGAACCAGAAGACTGTCAGTGCCGCCAGGCCAGCCACAGAGGTGGTTCGGAAATTGCCTTGAGCACATCCCCAAAGATCAGGGCACCCCGCTCCATCTGGAGGGGATAAAGTTGGGGGTGCAAGGGGTAGGAGAGTTCCACTTCTGAGGACCAGTCTTGCTCTGTGAATAATGATTCAGGCGTCATTTTCCAGCGCGGCTCCCCATCCCTTAATGCAAAGGGCTGTGTAAGGCAGAGGCCTAGCACCAGCATGATGATGGCCTAGAAGTGGGGAGAAAAACTGCCAGGAAGAACCCAAATCTCCCAAATTATGCAGGGTCTCACCACATCTGGCCTCAAAGCCATGCAAATTGCCACTGACAGTGGATAACCTAAGGCTTCTCTGGGGCGACAGAACATTGAGTCAGGGGAAAGGCCTGTCACTCACATGTTTCTCACTGTTACTACCTCTCTAACCAAGACTGCCAAGTAGACACTGTTGGCTGGTGGGCCCCACGCGACACCTACCAGGCCCCCCTATAGCCTGCTTTCTCTCCTAGCTTGGTTTGATTTCACTGTGGTAGCCTTTACACACTTTTCTATAGCTTAAAAATGGCACTTTGGAACAGAGACTCTTTAAGTACAGTTGGAGCTGAGTGAGACACGTGGCCTGGTTGTCATTTGAGAATAGCAGCTTTGGAGATGATGAGATGATTATTTCTACTAAAAGGGTGGGTGGTCCTCAGGGGAAGTGGGGCAGATGGTAAGTACTTGAAGGCAACACCCAGGAACACAAGCTCAGTGACTCCCCTTTGTAGGAATTGACCTCAGGCATCTCTCAGGTTAGTTGAGTAGAGTTCTGAGGCTGGGACTGGTGGTAGGGGCATTCCAAATCTCTGTCCCCACAGGTGGTCTGCAGAACCACAGTCACCCCCATTCTAATGCCCTCAGGAGAGGGATGGCCTTACTGACCATTTCTCTCATTTAGTTTGGGGGAAGGAAAGAGAAACAGTGGGTGTTTTTAGGCTCTTTCCTCTGCAAGCAGTTGAGGACATTAGACTGAGGGGAACGTTTCCATGTTGGCCAAAGGAGCATCCTTCTCATATTTTGTACATCTTATGCCCAAAATAACTCTTCTTGGTATTTGAGGGAAATATTTTCCTCCCCCCTGTTCCAGGAAATGGCTCTAAGCGCCAAGGACAGAGCCAGGGAGATTGCAATGAATTCCTGCCCGTCAGCCCCAGGCGGATGCCTCTAATGTCTGAGTGGCCCATGCAGGGTGTGGAGGTGGCTACTTGGAGAGCTGTCCTCACAGAATCTGTGCCATTGTCCCTGCTCCAGCCCAGATGCCCCAGGGAACATGGGGGTCAGGGAAAGAGAAAGGGCTCCAGGAAGGTGGAGCCCTTGTGACGTGTGCATCCTCAAACAACATACATGTTACTTGAAGGCAAGTGGAGCCAAATTCTCCTGCAGTTGATCAGTGGGTCCCCACCAGGTAGGATTCCAGCAGCAGCTCCGTTCTTGCCTGACAGCCCAGAGCTTGAAATTCTTCTTTGTGCACACGGTTGTCTCAGAGAGACAGAAAGAGAGACTGTTTCTGCTTAAATCTGATGCCTGGGCCCTCAGAACCCTTTGCACTTATTCCATGTATGACAACAGATGTGCTTTGTGTCTCAGCAAACTGCATTTTACAGTCTTTCCTGCTCACTTTGTTGGCTTTCTGGAACTGAGTCCATGATTGGTGTCAATGTTGACATCTCACAGATTCCAAAGATGATCTTATCCCCACTTCTGTGCTCATTGCATTTGCACTTGGGGTGCCTCAGGGTGTCAAGAGGAAGCCACATATGAGGTAAAGGGAGCCAAGCAAGAGCCCCAGAAAAGGGAGACCTGGACACTGAAGCATTTCCTGTCTTCATTTAGAAAGCTTCTGAAGAATTCCTTCTGTACAAATATGAATTCTAGGATGTGACTTTAATATGGGGGCAGGTGAACCATTGTAGAGGTGGGTTAACATGGCTGGACAAGGAAAATGAGGGATGGAAAATAATTAATTCATTCAACAAATATTCATTGAGCACCTGCTCTAGGCCAGGCCCCTGGGAGATGTTGGAATAAGAGGCTTATCTACCACTCCTGCACCCAGCAGACATCACTAATTGATCACAGCACCCTCTCCCTCTGAGTCTTGGAACTTCAGGTTCTCCTCCACACAGCTCTCTAGGGAGGTGCTAAATATTGATCAGAATTGACCCAGGAATTGAAACCTGTTTGTTTTCTCTGATGGGATCAGATCTAAGGATAGTTTCTGATGAACACAAAGACTATAACCCCCCCATAATCCATCTACCAGTTAAGTATGTTAACATGATTTCTCAAAAGAGGCTCTTGGCTGCAAGTAAGAAAAACCACTCATGCTAGCTCAGTGTCTTTCAAACTGCATGTTGTAACCAACATTTACAAAACAGAACAGAGACTCTCAAGAGTGCATCAATCACAGTAAGGCTGAATTTTATTTCTTGACACTTGTTTCTCTTGCATGTATGTATCCATATGTCTTCTGGATGAAAATATATATTCAGAAAGTTGAAACCTACTCAAGTGAGTGTATGTGGAACAGTATCTCACAGTGGAGGTTCAGGTCAGGGAGGGCCCGGGACCAACAAGTTCAGGAACCAGCAAGAAGGTCAGGAAGGAGCACAGGTGGTGACTGTAACCCCCTCTCAGTGACTGGATGGACCCTAGTCTCTCTCTCTCCACTACTCCATGCTCTCGAGGCTCACCATGGCTACCCCAGGGCCCCCAAGCCCTCAACAGAGACAAATTGGGCTCTCCAAAGCCCTGCTTTAAATTCCTGGGAAAGATGCTAATTGGCCCAGTTAGGGTTTGGAGGAGGAAGGGGACAAGGAAAGGGATGAGGAAAGTTTTCTGGGTCTCTTGCCTACCACTGATCATGCAAACATAGCTTCTGGGGCATGTGTGTGTGTGTGTGTGTGTGTGTGTGTGTGTCCTGAGTAAGGCAGACCCCCATGAGGTCCCTACACTTGGAATCTAGCCTGGGACATTTTTCTTTTCAGCCCCCCACCTTTACCCTCCCACTGTACTGAATTCTTCCAAACCCACCAGGTCTTCCACAACTCCACACTGTCCCCTTGGTTTGGAATGCCCTGCTTGCCCTCTTCCCCGTGGGGAGCTCCTGTCCTTCTGGTCTCAGTTCAAATATTGACTGCTTGGCCAAGGTGCCATAGTCTCCCCCTTTTCCTGTGCTCCTGCCTGAATAACCTTCACCAGGTTTTGTTAAAATGAGTTATTTAAGCTTCTTTCTGTTCCTCTGAATTCTGAGTAACTTGAAAGATGAGGATCCAGTCTTCTCTGTCTCTCTTCCTTGTGCCCAAGTCCCTTCCAAATGGGAGTTACAGAGAAAGGAAGGAAGGATGAGAGGGAAGGGAGCCCACAGGAAAACCTTCTGGAAGGAAGGGCTTAGATGGTACAAAGCTTTTTCCTCATGGTTAACAGCAAATGCACATTACCCAAATTTAATTCACACTAGCACACCAAAGATTACCACAGAGATGGGTGCAGAAAACCCAACAGCTGGAGACAAAAAGAAGAAAAAAAGTATCCTGGGTCCCTTGCTAACCTCTGGTCCTTTCAACCAGGAGATAGAGGAGTTTGAGTAGCTCAAGGCTAGCAGCCTCCACCAGTGAGTGCCTTCTACCTACTGTCATTGTCAGAAGGCTGTGGCCAGCCTAACCTTGCCCTGCAAACCCTCTGGCCCGGATATAAAGGAGCACCCCCTCCCTTGACATGGACGCCCCCACTGAGTCTACCTCATCCTCTCCACTACTCCATGCTCTCGAGGCTCACCATGGCTACCCCAGGGCCCCCAAGCCCTCAACAGAGACAAATTGGGCTCTCCAAAGCCCTGCTTTAAATTCCTGGGAAAGATGCTAATTGGCCCAGTTAGGGTTTGGAGGAGGAAGGGGACAAGGAAAGGGATGAGGAAAGTTTTCTGGGTCTCTTGCCTACCACTGATCATGCAAACATAGCTTCTGGGGCATGTGTGTGTGTGTGTGTGTGTGTGTGTGTGTGTCCTGAGTAAGGCAGACCCCCATGAGGTCCCTACACTTGGAATCTAGCCTGGGACATTTTTCTTTTCAGCCCCCCACCTTTACCCTCCCACTGTACTGAATTCTTCCAAACCCACCAGGTCTTCCACAACTCCACACTGTCCCCTTGGTTTGGAATGCCCTGCTTGCCCTCTTCCCCGTGGGGAGCTCCTGTCCTTCTGGTCTCAGTTCAAATATTGACTGCTTGGCCAAGGTGCCATAGTCTCCCCCTTTTCCTGTGCTCCTGCCTGAATAACCTTCACCAGGTTTTGTTAAAATGAGTTATTTAAGCTTCTTTCTGTTCCTCTGAATTCTGAGTAACTTGAAAGATGAGGATCCAGTCTTCTCTGTCTCTCTTCCTTGTGCCCAAGTCCCTTCCAAATGGGAGTTACAGAGAAAGGAAGGAAGGATGAGAGGGAAGGGAGCCCACAGGAAAACCTTCTGGAAGGAAGGGCTTAGATGGTACAAAGCTTTTTCCTCATGGTTAACAGCAAATGCACATTACCCAAATTTAATTCACACTAGCACACCAAAGATTACCACAGAGATGGGTGCAGAAAACCCAACAGCTGGAGACAAAAAGAAGAAAAAAAGTATCCTGGGTCCCTTGCTAACCTCTGGTCCTTTCAACCAGGAGATAGAGGAGTTTGAGTAGCTCAAGGCTAGCAGCCTC